ACAGTGCTGGATTTATGCACCAATTTACCAGCTCGCGCGTGCAATGCGCAGCTACCTACCCCCCCCCAATCATCGGTGAACGAAACTGTGGCAGCTACAACCAGTGTACGACGAGTACGCGGTTCTTACAGCTGGCAATGATGATTTCCAATTCTGCACAGTGGGTGACCATCCTTATCAGAAGAGGCTTTTAGATGAAGTTGATTGACACTCGGATTTTCGGAAATCCGGCGCATTCAGATTTCGGCTGCTTTATAAACTCATGAGTTTTTATTTTCTTTCGTTAGATTGCTCAAGAGCATGGTGTCGCTCCACTGGAACAGGCAAGTGATTTCAAACAGCGTTGCGACGAGGATTCCTATGAAATAGTTTCGCGTATGAAAAACATTCAGGTGAGCTGGCCTTCCCCTCTGTAAAGAACGTAAGCTACAAAAAGCAGTATCGCGATGAGTTTGGTGTATTCAGTCTTCAAATCAAGCCGCTAACCAGAAGGCATAAGACTAGGGAAGACGTGTGAACAGCTTTACCGCGGTGGACCAATCACAAGACCGACCATTATCGCTTTGGTCTAGGATGTTTCACTAGGCTGCCGCGACACTTTTGGCCTGAGATAGCGCTTACCTGTTGACTAATGTAATTCGACCGTACGAATTTCGGTGTGTTCATTGACACATGTCGGCATTGTTTAGAATATGCATCGTAGATGTTTCACTGTGACCCAGAGTGTATGGTTTACAAAAGTGGTCTACAGACGTCTTTCCTACGGTCACATTACGGACCAGTTTCCTCTACCAATGGCTCCCCACAATTCGGCAGCCAGAACAACTCACGTATCCATGCCCAATTCTAAATTGTTCTCGTTTTAACCAGGAGATCAGACGACTCCATTATACTATGCTAAAGCACTTTCCTCATTCTTTTTACTGCGACCACATTCATTTTAGTACGGTTGCCACCGATTTATACGTCAACTTAGCTTGGAAACCGTTCGTGTCATAGATCCGAAAAGTTGGCTGTTTTGTTTAACCTTCACGTTTTACACCGCTCACATTTGATGTGCGAAGACACCGAGGCTTTTAAGGCAGCATGTGTGTTTAGCTAACGTAGTTGTACAGTCGAGCCTAGCGTTTACAGGCCTTACAATTATTTCTCTCTGACAGTCCCAACGTCTACAAAACACGCGGAATATGGATTTGATATCCAAACTCGTCGGGTTGCTTGTCCAAGTTCGTTCACTCACGGAACAGGAAGGTGCAGCCTATGGGTGTTCGAGCATTCAGGATGCATTGCGTGAAATCAAGGCATCTGTTCACCCTAGCAACTTGCAGTGAGTTTAACCCATTCTTCACATTATTTAGCTATTTTCAGGTCGTCGCATAAAAGTAAATCTTCCACGTGTGCTGTTATCTGCATTTCACAGACTAGCCCCGCGATCATGTAGGCAGAAAACCGCAGACAGGAAAGCTAATGCCAACCTTAGTAGCTACTACCACTCGCTTGCTCACTGTTAAGTAGCACTGAAGCATCGGTGTTGAACACTGATGTCATGCTGTCGATGATGATGATGATGGTGATAAGTAGCTACCACAAGTGAAACGAACCGAATCCGTTGGAACGTAGGCCTCCTGCGATCGTCAGTAAAAGCAGTGTTAAACATCAATGCATCGCTATCGTCCTGTGCGTTAATTAGGACGTTTCGAGGATGCTTTGACCAGCGATTTCTCCGTGGCAGATAAACAGCATTGATGCTGCTTACCTCAATGGTTCGACGCACCATGAATCCACGAACTAACTGATTTCATCATCATAACCGGCATCACCGTTCAATACTGATGCTTCGCTGCCGTACAACTACGATCTATTTGAAAGCCCCATTGTGAACAAAAGAATGAAAGTAGACGGAAAAGGGAGTTAGGGCTAGCTCACTACAGTCATTCTAAGGTGTCCACACGTCCAGACACTCATGCATGCAATCTTTATAGGAACTGACAACAAGACCGCCATTAACATACATTAGCAGTGATATCTTGTTGCGTCCCTAACCCTATTCCCAGGACTGGGAATAACGCAGTCCTCATCGTGGAAGGTGAGTGGCACCGACAACACCCAAACATTTCATAATTTCTTTCTTTACCGTCTGCAAGATCAAGGGTTGGCCACCTCTCTGAATTGGACACAGAGAACAGCTCTCTTCGGCAAACGATGGTTTGACTTGCGCAATACATGGCTTAATTAACGCAGCTGCTGTTTCTGGACACATGCTTTTGTAGAAGTCAACGCTGCACCACCGAACACTCGCTTTCTAATTGTCTCCTTACGTATTCGCCGACACCAACCTAGGCGATCCGTGGTTCTGAGACAACGGTTGTCGAACACCCAAATGTGTATCAGTTGCGCTGCTCAAACACGCCAGGTTTCAGCCATACAACAAAATAGCCCGCACTGTAGCCTGATACACACGTTTCAGGGATATACGACTTTGATACCATAGGTGTCTCGAATTAGCAAAGCCGACCCGAACCTTGCAGATTCCTGCATTGGCCCCATCTATCGCACCGCGAATCGGAACTAATGCAACAAGTAACGTGAAACCCTATACAAATTCAAATGGCTCTCTGGATTGAAATTGGTGTGTTCAATGACTGCATATGCCTGAGCAGGGCCTCACTGTGTGGACCCAGAGTGCATACTCATGGACGAGACGTCTTTGGTCAATTCATCCAGAAGTACATGCGTCTTCTCTTCGAAGACGAGAACGATGTCGTCTCGAAGAGCTAGCACATTGCTGTGTTCTGACGGCTTGTGTGCATCCGCCACCCACTGAACTCTATTGTTGGGTGACCGCGCGACACTCGAAGAGTCTCATAACAAATAGGTCAAATGTTTGAGGTCTGACGAACACGCTGCTGATCCTCCAGCTTGGGGGTTGGAACATTGATGATGCCTTGTTCTGGAAAAAGTGAAATGCTCTTGTATTTTCCGCCGCATTGCTGGCAGGCTTTTAAGTCCGAAACGTAGCCGGGGACTCTAATCGTCCTTTGCATGTGTAGCCTCCCTGCAGTATCGCAGCCCACGTACAACCACGAATTTTACACATAGAGTTACACTGATGCCACATTGGCCGTCGCGTGTTGCCATCAGCAGGGTTACCTTGCTGCATATAGCCGGACAGGTAAGCGAAAGCAAGCTACTTTCCCTTTTTTCTCTTTTTATCTCTCTCACTCCATGAATAACTCTCTCCTGGTAGGCTCTGCAGTTAAGACCGATAACTCCGTTCATCGTGCATCATTTTTGCAAGCAACATCTGCGCGTCATTCGGCGCCGAAATCACCAGCCATCTGGAAACCTCGCCTTTTTGTGGCTCGTGAAACACTTACTCAAGAGCAGCAAGTGTGCTTCAGGCTTAGCAAGGCTTAAGTTGAACCAATCTTTTACACTCCATCGGGTGCTAGAAAAACATCTTACGTACAATTTTATATTCCTGGGTTTACAAGACCACTTCGACTCAGTTGAATGGTCTGTTCTCCTTGACACACTTAGCCATCAAGGACTGTCCCGAAAATTTGTGAACATTATAAGTTCTCTGTATTCTCTGACTTCCGGGCGTGTGGGAGAACACGGGAACTCCAAAGGTTTCCGTACACAAAGTGGTGTTCCTCAGGGGTGTCCAATCTCTCCTTTTTAATCTCATGATCTATAAGATACCGAGACGAGCCCCGCAAGGTCTTAAAAACCCCAGTGTCCAAATAGCCTCTGATCTGGAATCGACATCGTCCCCGCCTTCGAAGAAGCGGTAAAGGCGCAGGTGTCTCTGGGCGAACTGATCAAGTTCATCGCATCCATGGGGTATGCACATTGCATTCGCAAAATGTACGGCTAGCTCCCGGACGTCCAGTCACTGAATACACCACTTTCAATCCATGGAGAGACACTCGAATGTAGTATAACAGATAAGAGCAACGCACAATTATGCAAGGCTGGAGTCGAGTTTGCTCATTTGAGGCACATGGCGTCAAAGCGGTATATCCCTAAATCTCAAGGGACATGTGTATCAGATTACAGTGCGGGCTGTTTTGTTGTATGGCTGAGATTTGGCGTGTATGAGAAGCGCAACTGAGGCGATCATTGTCTCAGAGCCATAGCTTGTGTGGGTTGGTGTGGGCCAATCCATAACGAGACAGTGAGATGACAGATGTTCTATTGTACAACAAGGGCTTCCATTGAAGAATATATCCAGAATCGAGACCATATATTTTGCAAGCCGAACCATCGTTTGCTGAAGGGTGCTGTTCTCCGTGTCCAATTCAGAGTGGCGGAAGCAGAGAGGTGGCCAACCCCTTACTTAGGAGAGGGTTATGAGAGAGATTATGAAACGTTTGGGTGCTGTCGGTGCTACTCGCCTCGCAGGATGGGGACCGCGTGATCCCCACTGTGCCTGGTTGGGGAAGCTGCAAGCTATGTCTAATAATGTATTTCAACGGCGGTCTTATCAGTTTCTATCCAGATTGTCTGTATGAGTGTCCGGAGGTTAGACACCTCGGTATGATAGTAGTCATGTCGCACTGAGTCACTTTCCCGTCCACTTTCATTTTTTTCACAATTAGGCTTTCAATGAAATTATGGTTATAGGGCAGCGAAACATCAGTGTTAAACACTGATGTCCTGCTGTCGATCCTAATGATGGTGACAGACTGCCGGGTTGCTGATTCCTAGACTGTATGTGGGAGAGTGCAGCGCTTGTGTTAGTTAGCTGGTAAGCAAGTTAGTTAGTTAGTTAGTTAGTTATCCCATTGAAGGACGCTAACAGAGCAGAGACCATAGTTTTAGGAGGTAAACACTAGGTGGATGGACAATGATTGCCATAAAGTTCGAGCTCCTCCTGTGGAGGAGGTTTTTGAACGAAATTTTATCCTTTTTTCATATCCTAAACGATGAGTTGATTCGCTCGTTTGAGGATGCTTAATAACGATCGTTACTACCATCGGAATTTCCGTGGACACAAAGATTTAAGGTATGTCATCACCTGTTGGAAGTTTTCGTGATTATTTAAGACCCTGTGACTTCCCTTTTTCGCATCAGTCTTCGGAACTCACATTACCAGCAGATACTTGGTCAGACGGAATTACGATTTAGTGAGAATCAATAGTGTTTTAGTCCTGTGTTCAGAATTTGAAGTGTTCGTGGACATTTCCTGAGAACTCATAGTCACATACTGTTTGAGTAATCCTTCTCTCCTTGCTCAACTGTTCTGATTCTTCTACATGGTGTTTCCCTGCTTTGGTGAGAACTAACCGGAGTAGTTGCTCGAGAGGAAGAATGTTCCAGCAATACTGATTTGACCGCAAATTTACCGTTGTATTTTTTGCTTGTTTTATCCATTCTAATTTTGGCATAGCTTTCGGAGTTTCGCTAACCTAAAAGATAATTCCGGAAAGGTTCACCTGACCGTAGTGGGGATTGAAGCCTACATGGTTAGCAGGAGTGTTTTCGCGGTTGCTAGAATGCCAACCCTAGTCGCGAACGCTATTTGGTCCATCATTGTGTTTCCCCTCTTTGATATGTTTTGAGTGCATCTTTAGGTACGAGTCAAAGAGGTCGGACTGGATGCAGATGCATTAAGGTGCACGAAAGCAAGAAGTTACCATAATTTTTTCATCAAAAAATATCGCGCCTGCAGATGCATTAAGGTGCACGAAGGCAAGAAGTTAACATAATTTTTTCATCAAAAAATATCGCGCCCAATAAATAGTTGTCACAGTTCTCGTTTTAAGAGAACTCTATGGCGTTTCAATAACAATTCAGCACCCTTTAAGGACTTGCCGTTTGCAAAGACCTGAAAAAACCGAGAGGCTACTATTACCTCTCTGGCACATGACTGAAAGTTAGCAGACGAAAGTGAACAAAGGTGAGATTAGTATCATGACATTTCCAGAAGTCGACAGGGTGTCGGATATTCCTAGGCTGTTTGTCCCCTTTCTAATCTTTCAACGATGGAATTGTCGACTTGTGATCAAAGTTGCTCGGTAAATTGTACGCACTATTAGACTTTCAGCTATCTACTTAATCCCTGTTTTTCGCTCTTCTTATCTGTCTTTCAGAGTGTTTGAAAACTCAGTTGAGATTTGTGCTCACCACATACTGTGCGGACTGTGTAGTCAGAGCAATCTCCACGCTTTCCTGTACATGCATCCAAATCACATGCAATACATCTAGCCTATGTATATATTTCATTTGTACTTATTTATGTTAATAACTGGCAGTCATTTGTCTTCGTATCGCTTCCTTCTTCCCTGCCGACCGATCGCATGTGATTCCTTGTTTCATTATTTAGCCATGGGGTTGGATATAATATGTGTATCTCCAGGGTCCTTTTCGGGTGTTTTATGGGTTTAACCGTAGTGCGCAGCATGCATTTAACTCTGATTTAATATTGAATCGGCGTTTCGTCGCGAGCAGGAAGATAGAGCCAGCTTGTCTTTAATCCGTAGCCGTTGTTCACAAATTCTTACCTTCCTTGCTGTTCCAGCCTGATGCTTATCTGAACAGTATGATATTCATGTCAGTAACGCGCCGTGCGTGATGCCCAGATATGACGCACCAATTCGGTCGAGTTGGAGTTAGTAATATTCAAAAGAACTTTATTTCCGGAGCAACTATGTAGACTTATCTCGTCATATATTTGCATCAGGCATGGGCTGACCCCAGAAAATAATTCCCTTAGTCGGTTACCCAGGTTATACACTTGTGTCCTCTGTGGTAACTAATGTATCTATTCGTTCTTTATCGTCTCGTTTCTTGACTGGTTCATTCGCACGGAGATGGAGGTAGCAAAGTTTTTAAGGCGCGAACTTACTGGCCGGAATATCCGTGGTTCGGTACTCTGCTGCTCTCGTCTAGGCTAACCTGACAATATCTTAACCCACTTAACCTCGGTACTCTGCTGCTCTTGTCTAGGCTAACCTGACAATATCTTAACCCTCGTGTTTCCCCTGCGAGGCGTGGTAGGTAAACACCGTAGGGCGCTACAGCTGCATTTTTTATATTATTTTATATGCTCAACAAATCAGCAATAGTACCAATACCCGTGTAACTTGTTTGAGCTTCCTACTGACGGAGGGTACTCAGTTCGAATCAGCCGGGTTTTGGGATTAGATTGGTTGGATTGACATCTCTTGGAGAGTGATAATACAGGGTGCCATGACTTCACTGTCACCGATGTTGACGAATATTCTTTGGATTTGTGTCCTAGTCATATCTGATATCGCAATCGCGGGTTCAAACGAATCTTTCATTCCAAGAGAGTACTGAACTCCCTGATCCTCTTGTCAAAAGTAGGTATCTAGCTTAATGATTCGATACCTGAATCCTTAGAATAATATGCATTTCGTCTCAACCGTCCTGCCCTCTTGAAATGGCAGCTACCTTCAGTCTGCTCGAGTTTGGTTTGAACAGAACCTTCAGATGAACGCGCAGTGAATGTGTACAGGCACTCAGTGACTAGGTTCTTCATCTCCCGTGGAGCCTCATTGCGAACCCGTCTTGCGATGACGGGATAGCTTATTGGTTAGAGCACGAATTTGCTGACCGGAAGGTCCGTGGTTCGAACCCGACCTCTGCCTCTCGACTTCCCCTGTCTGGACTTGGGCAACCTGGCAGTATCCCAGCCCTCGTGCAACCTTCGGGTGGCATGGCAGCTAAGCACCGAAAGGGTGTTGCAGATGGATAGATTAGTAGTAAGTGCCTGCGCTTAATTACCGTACGGGTCAGAAATGTGGCCCAGCGCTCTGAGAGCGTCAAAAGACTGTGTTTGACCATCGATGTCTTCAGGGTATTGCTGGCGTCTAGTGGGAGCACCGGATCAGCAATGCTAAACTACGTCGGTTGGTTTTCCGAATAAACAACTCATTCACTGATCACACTTCATAGATTGCGCTGGCTTGGCCACTTGCTCCGTACGCCAGTCGACCGACTTCCTCAAAGTACTCCTTTCTAACAACCACGTAAAGTGCGTAAACGAGCCACTGGAGGTCAACTAATGGCTTAGCAGCAAAGTATAAGAGCCATTGCCAGCAAGCTCATTTGTGCCGGTAATTGCAGTCCTCCTGGATGGGGGCCCGAGGCGTGACTCATCAATGGTTGTAGAGATTGTCACACATGGCCCAGTCGCACCCTCGGAGCTCGTGCATCCAAGGTATCGAATACGCAACTATCCCATCTCAAATCATCGGTTAACGAATCCGTGGCAGACATGACCACTACGACAAGTACTCGGTTCCAGTACGTGTTCCAGCCCTCGTGCAACCTTCGGGAGCTTGCAAGGTACCTTATTTTTCAAGGGAGGAAATCCATGAGGCTGAGGGTATCTACATCGAACGGCTATAAACTGAACGCATGAGTCTCATGGAGTAAAATGCCATCGGCGAGGTTGATTTTGAATCTTCGGTGAAACTTACCTAGCACAAGCCCGCTACAGAACCGCTGACGGCCTTGAGCGTGACACCGATAAAGTAGTGACAGCACGCCCGCCCTCGGACTAGTGAAGTGCCATACTTTGTATGGTTTCAAACCCTGTGTAAAAAAATCACTGGAACCTTAATCAGGGAGGGGCGAAGGTCATCTCCACTGGCTGTCCTCTAGTTGGAACTACGCAGCAGTTATTGTCCTGCTGCGTTTACACTTCAAAACATTCTTAAACCATCTTATCACGGGCTTCGAGGCTTGAGGTGGGGTTTGAATCTGCTTAGTTTGATTTACTCTGAAATACTTGATGGGTAACTGCAGAGGGAGGTATCATTTTGGAGCTTACTACCAAAATGAGGATTGAGATCGGATGTCAATTTTTTGGCTGGCATCGGTCACTAGGAGGACCAGGTTGCGAATTCGGTACACGAACGAGAGGGTTAAGGGTATGTTCGACTCCTAACACTTGGCTCATCGCTTTCGCTTCACCCACGTCCCACCGTTTTTATCACCCATCCTCCAAATCTGGAGTCATTGTTCACCCAACCTCATTCTTACCTATGATATCTGCACGTCGCAAAACGCTAACTTTTCACTCTCAGGCGCTTGTCGACCTGATTTCAAACTGGTTGAATTAACAAGGTGACTATGTACTTTTTGCTATACTTTCCACATCTGTCTGGACTATTTGGTGTTCAGGATTTGTAGGAAAGTAAGCGGATGCTCACCAGGATCCATTTGACGCGTGCACTTCATAATCGTCTTTATATACAGATGTCCCAGTGTCAACAATAACCCATAATGAAGGACCATCCTAGCAAGCCACAACGCGGAGAATCTAAAAAATCTTATAGGGAATAACGACTCAAATGTCTTTTTCATGGTTTCAGCACAAAATGGTTTAGTCGTAACACTTTGTTGTTTCTAACGAACAGCACGTCCCCAGTGCTGCTTCGTCAATAGTCCTGGTCTGTTGTCAGGAATTCGCCGCTCCGGAATTTCACTGTGCTTCCGTGGGTGAATTGCACGCAAAATCATGCCACATCGGTGCTGATCACTGATATCGTGCTACCAGGTCGCCCTAATTGCTGTGTACAGCAGGGCGGCTAAGTGAAAATGGATTACTGATGACGCCTTTCTCTTTCTCCCGTCTCACTAATATCTCTCACCTTAACGGCCCAGCAGTTAGGACTGATAACTTCGTTCCTCCTGCACTGGTTTTGCGGACAACATCTGCGCGTCATCCGTCGCCAACATCTTTGAGTATCTATACATCAATCTTCAGCTCCAGTCTATCTGACTGCTTTCAACGTCCGCGCTCTGAAACAAACGGGACCACAAGCTGCTCTTACTGTCACACTCACGAGTATCTATACACCAATCTTCAGCCCCAGTCTATCTGACCGCTTTCAACGTCCGCGCTCTGAAACAAACAGGACCACAAGCTGCTCTTACTGTCACACTGGAACCGCTTGGTAATGAATGCTGTTCGTCGGAAACAAGAATCCAAGGTACAAGTACAGTGATTGAGCTAACTGCCCCATCACTCTCCGTTCGCTGGCAACCGCGCACCTCTGGTTATACAGAGGCCGCTGCGGTTCGCTGGCAACCACGCACCTCTGGTTATACAGAGGCCACTGCGGCAGAATGTGCAGAAGTTTGTATCGTCCTAAGTCACTTGGCGAAAGGATCCGTGCTTGACTGGATACTCGTTGATAGCCGCCTCTGTGTGGTTCGCCTGGCAATTTCTGTGGAGTCTCAGAAGCGGAAATTTGAATTATGTCCGTTTTTCGTGTCCGCCCACGCCCCAACTGACACCATCAAACAGGTTTTCGTGATGGTTTGAATACCCTGTTGCAGTGAGCTAAAAGCTCAGATATCGTTGTGGTTACCGAAGATTTCAGTGCACAAGTGGGCAGGCTTATCGCATCTGAAACTCAGTTGCATCGTTGACATGGATTGGAGTCGGTACGTAGGACAATTCCTTCAGCTGTGTACTGACTGAAGGCTGTTTTTATGCAGTACTAATTTCCGAAATGACCGAAGTCGTTTGGCCACAGGGTGTCCTCCAACGGTGTTCTGGCTACGAGTTCAAATTGATCCCACGACCATCAGTTACCAGTGGTGCAGATCAGTACTGACTGCCGCTTGTTTTGGGACATATTTATGGGTTCCGACCACGTGTTCGTCCCTTCTCCATTTTCTAGGGCCGCGAAACATGCGGATAAATCATCATCATCATCATCATCGCAGGGCCGCGAAACATGCGGATAAATCACTTGGCGACCAAGAGACTGTCATTTCCGGATGTTAGGCAAATTTACCAGAATCTTGTAGAGTCTCTTTCAGTTGCTCCAATCTTAGTTATAAATTCATACTAGGACGAGATCACCACCTCTTCGAACAGTGCTGGGAGTTTCGCTTGTGGCGCAGCGCCACCAGGCCCACTGAAGCCCTGGATATCAGACCGCGAAGTGACACTGCGTAAATATCGGGGAAATATCTAGGCAGCAGATGAGGCGATCCAGCAGGTTTGACGTGAAGGTACATTTGTGTGCGTAATGTCTGTATGTTGGCACCTAAGCCCAGTGAGTGAGACGATCAATCTCCTCAGCCAAAGTCTGCATCAAAATATTGACTGCACTATCGCAATGGTTGGCGCAAGTTCACCACAATAGTCCAACTTTTAAGAAACGGGTTGCCAGCCATGTTCCAGCCCAGTAACCTGGGTAAGTTGAGGACTGTTTGTCAGACGCCTACTGACGGGCCCGGTAAGAGAAACCTGGTGGATGTTGCATGGACATCTTCCTGTGCAACCCAGTGGGTTTCTGAGCTACACATGTTGTCGTCCGACAACGAAATTTCAACAATCTCGCGCAATGTTTTCAGACTTTGACGATATTTCCATTTGGACTGTAAGGTAATGGCATGCCGGTAACAGTCATTTGACGTCGTTTGTTAGCTTTTCTATATGTCCATCAGTGCCGCTGCATTAGATTGACTGCATCCCGTCACTCGCGTAAAATTACCGGAAACCCAAAAAATATACCAGTTACCGATGACAGTACTTTGCGTTTCACATGACTCCCAGTTGCCGGTGGGTCTGGTGTACCGATCAGATGCCCAAATTTGGATTAGCTCGCTTCATCCTATCTCTGGATAACAGGGCTGCACTGTTCCTCTACTTACAGGCTCATTTCGATGGTTTCAACTCCTAGGATTCGTATAATGTATAAACAGTTCGGAAATATGGTTTTCGTTTTACCTTATGACTGGTTGCAACGCTTCTTTTCCTCCAGCCCTCATGAATAATCAGTCCAAAAAACAACGCGAACAAATCAGAGCCAACGAACGTGAACTACGTTCAGCTAAACGCGATTTGGCGCGTAATGCCAAGGAATTGGAGAAGGATGAAAAACAACTAGAGATGCAGATCAAGCAATGCGCTGCTCGCGGAGATAAGCAAGGTGCCGCCCTGTTGGCTAAACAATTAATTTCACTGCGGAACCAAAACAAACGTAACATGATTTGCAATGCCAAGCTTAGTGCAATTAGTTCTCAACAGCGTGTTGCTGCTTCTACTGTTGCCATGGGAAGCGCAATGCACTCTTGTGCGCAAGTCACAGCTAAAGTGAACAAGGTAAGTGTAATTCGCTCGGGTATGATATACGCGCTTTCGGTCACTTCAGCCAAGTGCCACTAACTGACGTACCTCATGGTTACCAATTTTTATGGGGCATTTGAAACAGCATGATCTTTTTTTGTGAGAAACTATTAGGGATTTTGCTTCGGAAGTGCGAGCTCCCTATGCCAAGCTGTCGTGTGATTTCACGGCCTGGTTTCGACTCCACTTCTAACTTTGATTACTCCTGGCTTACTTTGGCCGTTTTGCTATTCCTATTCCTCTTTCTTGTTACACAGTACCTGCAGGGTGTTACTCCCCTTTTGTTTACGTTTCTTTTTTCCACTTGTTAATCATCTTCGATCTCCTTATTCGACGTAAGAGATTAATGAGCGTTGCCCGTAAGCAACCGAATTCGATCGCCGTCAGTGTTGGGTTAGCCTTTACTGTCACGGAGTAGATGGTGACATTACTACTTATTTCATGTCCTAGATCACTTTTGCTGTTACTCAGGTTCTTCGGAGTGACCATCAGTTCATCGAATTCGGCCTTTGGTTCATCGAACTTTCAATGTTTCGAGTAATCGTTCCGCTGACCATAATGATAAATACAGTATCTTCTTACATTTTGGCGCACGGCTGCTAGACTTCCTACGCATATGGTCCTTCTTGCATTCCATTTGAAGATTTTCCGCCGGATCTACCACCCTAAAGCAACGAAATTGTTAAATTGACGGTGTGTACACTGAGGAAGCATGCGAGTAGTATATGGTCTGGTGTTCAAACTGCACATCTGGTAGAAGGGGAAGGTTATACCGGAAATAACGCAACCGCTGCACAGTGTTTGTTTACTATTGTCTGATGATCAGTGAACGTCCAGAAAAGTTCAGAACGACGCTTGTGAAGGCTCACTTCAAAAACTGTTTGTTTTCGTGTCTAATAGCCCGTAACTGTTCAGTTCGTATTTACCAATAACCAACTTCTCAGCAAAGGTCTTTTCTTCCTTCACCATATTAGATTCACAGCTGGAAATCTGCGAATATTATTCTGCCATCGAATATGGACCATGAATTACTTGGAAACACGCAGGATTTCAACTGCTTATTTTACATAACCCTGGCATAATGACCCACCCGACGTCCGACGTTCTGTATACCATATCCATCATAGAGCATCAGACATTCGATATGTATATCTTCTATCCATCCATATCTGTAGGCTTCAGTCTTGCACTTCTAAAAATCAAATCATCCACAGTTCTAACTCATCCATCTGACCTGCTCCTCCTATCACCAGTATGACTATCTATCTCCCCTTGGATTCCACTGCTTTCTCTTTGACAGCGTGCTACTCTGTCATTACCCTCGAGTGGATCGTATCAGGAGAGATAACACTGTCCTGGAGAATCCACAATGAGCGACCATTATCCTATGTTTAAAGGCTCCCCTAACCTGTCTTAAGCTTTTTATTTGGAGGAACTCTGATAGTCAGGGACTTTCAAGACTCGTTAATGTGCGAATGCGCAGGTGTCATGAAAAACTGGGCGCCATTTGCGTACGTGAGGCGATGTACATTATCTTTTGCTTATTAAACGGAAATCGTTGGTCAGTAATTCCGTTGATGTGTGACAGCAGCCCTTGCAAGCACCCACCAACCATGCATGACAATGATGGTTCAGTGTCGATTTCGTACGACTGGTAAAAGTTTCTCACAGTTCGAACCGGACTATTTGTCTTCTGGGATTCTTCCCATCGATGTCAGGTCTATCATCTTTTAATTTTCGGTAAATCTTTTTTTCATTTCGATTGATGATCTCCAGTCTTTAATAGATCTCGCTTTTTCCTGCGAACATCCCGAAGTAATGCTTTCAATATTGATTCGAATAGATTAGTGGAATACAGGTTGATAGACAAACGCTTTCAGCGAATCCTCTCATTTGAGATTTCTCCCCGCAAGTGTGAAGTCATTCTGTGCACAGCTGTTTCACTGCTGCTGGGAGTCATTCGATTTGCGCCTGTTGTGGATCTATGCGGAGGTTTGAACCCACAACGTTCTGTAGTTGAATTTCGCACCATTCCGCCAATATACCTGATCATAAGATGGTTTACGTACACTGAAATGGAATATGGTGACAACTTTCCTTTAACTACGAAGTTTCCGCCAGGTGATCCGGTTTGACTGGTTCCTTGAGTGATAACATGTCAGAGGCACGGGCTGCCATCCCACAGTTTTCGCACGATAGCGGTGGTCGAGTTTTCTTTCGTTGTGGATGTGCATACTATTCCTAGGAAATTGGCCAGAAAAGCCCACTCCCCTCATTGATGCCCGATTTCTACAGATGATTGCAATTTTCGAGCACTCCATGTAATATTTGGATTTATCTCTTTCCTAGTTTTTAACTTACCAGGCCATCCGCCCAAATAGGCGTTTCTTTGTTTTACGAAGTAAAGTTTGCTCATCGTCCAGTTGAGAACTGTTGTGATGAACGGGAATTCGTCGTTGAAGCAATGGACTACTTTGAACCATTTAGCCCAAACAGCGGATGGATGGATGAAGAAAAAATGTTGGCATATCGCGAATTGTCTTCTGAGCTCTCTGGTCGAACGAGACGTTTACTTAAAAGGATCTAAGAACAGCATTCAATGTGACTCCAGACAAATAGCCTTAAAATAAACCGAGCGCCATCGCCGCTCATTTAGTGAGAACGAACCATCATCTAAATATTAGAAAAGCATCTGCAGGGTTTAACTCAGCCAGCCGAAATCTGTGAGATTCCGTTTACTATCAACACGAGGAATCTTCAGCCATCAGATTACCTAAGTTGATTGTGTTGAAAGTAGTATTTTTGTTCCCTTTATCTGATATAGGCCCAGGTCGGTCGGTCGCTTGAACTGGGGAAATCGGTCACCTTGTCAGTAAAGTTCGCCAATGAATTCAGAGGTCGTTCTTCTGTCTTGTAGACTTTTTATTATCTTCATGTTTCTCGTCTGAAATCGTATTCATTCATGAAACTGGGTTCTGATATACTCTGGGTATAATCCTTTAGAACATGGTTGGGAAGAGGTTTCGAATTCCTAGTAGTAACCAGTTTAGGGATGACTACCGAATCGCGATTCAGAAAATCGATGTAAAGATGCCCCATTGCGTCAAACATCTATCTTGCTTACTGAAGTGTATTGATTTTCAGGTCCTTCGCAATACCTAACAACTGTCGATTAATTTCATTTCGTTTTGGTTGGTGTTTAATTGAGTCTCACTAGATCGAAGGTCAGTAAGTTGAGTCCTCAATGAATTAAAGGTTCATGCTTCGATTCTAATCAGTTGTGAACTACACCTCAAAATGTAGAATTACTTCTTGGTGTATGCATAATTGATCCCTCCTTTCGTCATCCGTTTCTATAGAACTTAGACACGACGAAACTGGGGAAAACTCTGCAAGAGTTTGGGAAGACACAAATGGAGCTAGGAATGAAGGAAGAAATGATGGACGATATTTTGGATGATTTGGGCGATGACGAAGAAGTAGATGACGTTGTGAATGCCGTTTTGGACGAGCTCCATTTGGATGTCAAGTCGCAGTTCAGCAAGACGCAAGTCCCGTCTGGATCAGTCTCAACTGCAGAGGCAGAGGACGTTTCCGAGCTGCAAGCAATGTTGACCAAACTCCGTGAATAACGGTTCCTGATTGTTGTATGTAAAGTTAATTGAACTTTATCACAGATTTTTCCTTCCATTTACTTTCTATCCTGTTCAAATCGGGTTTTCCAGGTTCCGTGTGTAGTTTTTTACCTGTTCCTTTCACACACGTCGATCGTGTTTTCGATGACCTCGCCTAGTTTTCCTGGTGGCAACAACACCGTTGAACCTTCTGGACTGAAACGACAGTCAGTATCCATCGTTATTGGTTAGTAACTCAAAATCTGTGATCCTTCCATTCACTTGAGCCAAGTGCGTTTCTCCCGAGTACTGTGCTTGTATATTAAGTTAAGTGCGTCTCTCCCGAGTACTGTGATGTATATTAGGTTTTTTGATCACTGTTGCTCGACAGTTCCTCACTACAACTGAAGAGAACTTTTCACTCATGCTCTTTTTACTTTTCTATGTGATCATTCTTTGCCAGTTTAAACTCACGTGAAAACAACTTAATTTCACAGATGCAATAATAAAATGTAACACCAAATTCACTCGTTCGTTTTGTTTTCCATTTCCATATGGCTTTAACTATTTGTACCCATTCAAGGTTGTGTACTGTTCGTGAGGATGACTGCAAATTTGTAGTTCCAACATCCTTGGAGCAAATAATATTATTGGTTCTGTGCTGTTCACCCCTAAGGAAGTAAGAGGGCTGAGACACTGTCAGCGTGCCCAAGCCTAGTCAGGAGTACTCGAAATGCCGAGGTTGGGATCGAACCACGGACTTTCCGGTAACTGGGTTTGCGCCTGAAGCAGAGCCATCTCAATATCTTACGATGGTTTTCGCTAGCATTGACGTATGATTGAGCTAGTTGGTATTGTTTTGTATTTTCTGTGCGGTCGATGACGGTACCATTGAATGCAACAGTAGTTTTTGGGCAGATTCGTACGCTAGGTGTTGGTTCCACTGCAAAGCACTTCAAGAAAAAACTAATGCTACTTGAACGGATCCGTATACACCAAAAAGACTAAGGGCTTGGTGCAGTTAGGCTTCTTGGAACCCTGCTAAATGTGTTTTTTTTAAATCCGAAAAATTATCAGTCAGTTGCATGGTAATTTGTGGATCCCCTGCGAGAACTGGTTACTATTCAGATGGAATAGTCTAACGATTCACCAGTGATAGCATTGTTGGAATACATCAACATCTGTTGTACGTAAACTTTATTGACTGTGTGTAGACAAAATGCTGGATGAGTGCGACAATACACTCATTTGCAATTCAATTTGGGTTTCACAGGAGACAAGTGAACCACTCGCTTATGATGTTCTTCAGCTGAATGTGCTGCATAAAGACCGCCTCATGTTTCGCAGTATATTTTCATAAAGGAAAACAAAACTCTTCCTGTCGAAGAGTTTGTCAGTAACCTTGTGAGTAGTTTCCTGCCAGATGGTTGTTGTAGCAGTCGTTAAACCAGTGGAATGTACTGACCAGTTTCTGGAACAGTTCGCATCAAATTTCTTGGCTGAATATTGAATAATTACATCTCTTCTGTGGGTGTGAGCTGTAGTGCCGTGTTCAAGTCGTAACCTCAACCCCGTAATGATTGGTTGAGCAATCGAGTTGTTAGGTATTGGCGCTTCTTGCATGTTGACTAACCGGAGGAAATATCACACAGGCAAATAAATCATGTTCTCGTGAAGGGCCATTCCTCAGAAAATACACCTTGAACCATTGAAGCGTATTTCGTCTGCAAATCCTCTCAGAAGTGACCATTCAATGGAGGCGAGATGACTCAAGCGGTTAGAGCGCTAATTTACTGACCGGAAAGTCTGTGGTTCGAACCCGACCTCTACCTCCCGAATTTCCCTGTCTAGGCTTGGGCAACCTGGCAGTGTCTCAGCCCTCATGCTTCTACCGGGTAGCATGACAGCTAGACACCAGAAGGGTGTCACAGCTGAACGATTTGTCTTCGGGCGGTCTCTTTAGATGAAGAGATTCGTAGACAACACTTATGCCCCCCCAAGGCGAAGGGTTAACTGAGATAGTTGCCAGTATTGGCGAAGTCTTGTCTTGGTGGACGCATGAGCATGCAGGGGCAGGTGACTTCCTAAGTTTGTCCTGACACAGTTTGGTGGCAATACACGCAGCAACTGAGGGCGTAGTGACGTTATTGCGTCCTACTCCCTGTATCCGACTTCGGGTGCCGTTTGTTGAACGACAACATTCACCCAGCATAACAGCCCTTCGGTACCCAGCTGCCATGCCAACCGAAGGAACTGTGAAGACTGAGATACTGTCTGGTTGCCCAAACTTAGGAGCAGTCGGGATGCCGGGTTTGGGTTCAAACCAAGGACCTGGCCAGTAACCATTGAGCTATCTTGAGCTCCAACGACCGCCGAATAAGCTGGGAAAACTAAATGGTTGGACCGGAGGGTAAGGCACCGAGTGGCCAGCAGCCAAGGCGGAATTTATGTATTTTATCGGGACGTGATATTACACGCGGGCGAGGGTGGAGCTGCGTCTTCTCTATGCAAGGCACCAATTGATTTCAACTTTCTTCCGTTTTCATCTTTTTACCATTTTTACTTTACTACTCAAAAACCCGCCCTCGTCTTCTCTTTTGTAGCGCTGGACGACCGAACGCTATATTTTTAGAAAAACCCCGGGTCCAAATACGCTTCCAACCTAGTGTGTGCGACAATTAAGTTTAAATGTTTACTTTGTTTACTGTACTCCAAAAGTCCGTGCAATTCTGTAAAACAATACGGAATTTCAGATTTCAACAAGCTTGGACTAAGCGTTCAACTATCTCACATTTATGGATGTAATATATGAGGTGATAGCCACAACAATAATCAGTAGAGAGTCTCCTAATATAATTGGGGTTATGTAGGTAACTGTATCATATACACACTGCACCTTTTCAATGTGCAAAATTAAGTGGGCCGTACATTTATTCGAATCAGTAAAACTCGGAGGACAACTCACCGCTTGCAGTGTGCTCGGTCAGAAGTCGTTTGCGAACCACAGATTTAAGGTCACGTCGCAGTAGGATATTAAACAGACGCAGCGTAGGGCAAAAATTAGCTACCGGCTTTATTCATCTTCATGGTCGTACTAATCTATCTATGCAGCTGTTTGGTCTGCTGCTATAATCAGTAGGCTATCATCGAGTCATATATCTGTTTTAGATAACGAGCTGACGTCAGCACACGCTTCAGTGAACGAACATTAAGGGCTTGGTGCAGTTAGGCCGACGTCAGCACACGCTTCAGTGAACGAACACTCACGAGAGAGAAAAATCATTGCACTTGATGAAGCTACTGGATAGACAGTAAACTCTGTCTATTCGGCAAAGCGGTAAGCTGTTCAGGGGAACTAGATAACTGAACTCGGATGCCCGAGAGACCAAATACTGTTTTCACTCTTGGTAGAACTTATCGATGTCGTTACGCTTTAGGTCTACCGATTCGGTACACCACAACACGAAAGCACGCACCAACCCATGTTAGACTTATTGCCTGAAGCACATGCTGAACAATTTTTGGTACTCGCAATTCAAGGGCAAAAGTTGTAGGGCTTAGTACAATCTCAAACGACCCCCACCAGAGTAGCCAAGTGAGGTGACAGGCCATATATGCCTTCGGATTGTATCAGGGGTATATTACTGATTTTGACGTATGTGTTAATTGTGAACGGCCTATGTGCATTGGTGAACACAATTATCTGTCTGCATAAAGTCATTTTAAAATTCATGTGTGATCGCGAACCGCATATCCTTCCTGTTTCTCTGCATCCCAACCCGTGACCCACGTCAACCTCGGACCCGAGTAAGTAGCGAGAAAAAAGTCGGAAAGAAAATTCGTTCGAACTTGATAGGTCAGGTTGGGAAGCAGAAGGATGGTAGTAACTGATGCGAGCACAAATTCTCACGCACTCGCCGCAAAACCAGCAAATATGAAGACAAAAATGGACTTCTCAGGAGTGCATCGAACGAAAGCTAAAGCGAACGCCTCAGAAAGTAAATACGCTTTGTTCGTTTCATTGTTTCTTAATTTGTGATAATTTGGGGGCAAGGATGGTTGAATAGATGGGAGTGAAGTTCTACAGGACGACCTGACTAAATCTCATCTGTGTGGTCTACAGCCACTTCGTGGCTTGCTATTTTTCCTCCTCGGGGATGGAGGCGGTTGGGGCGTTGATCCATCATCGGACATTTCTTGGGGGCCTTCGTTCTGGTTAGTAGTGCGCTGCGACGTGTAAATCGGAGCTGTTGGTAATGAGACCCTGTTTTTTGGTGCGGCGGTCCCTCCTGATGAAGACGTTTCGTCTACTTCTTTTCTTACCTCTCGGCTATGACTGGGAATGCTTGTTCCAACTTTGTTAGACCTTGGTCCATTGCTGGATGAACAATTGGATGGAACGCTAGATGCATTACGGGTACCTGCTGAACACAGGTTTCTCCGGCAGGGATACGCTGCTGAAGACACTTGGCGGTGGCCCGCTACACTAGCACGCTTTGAAGTACTGTCTCCCGAATGATCAACTCTGTAGGATTGGTCGGCTGATTCCGGACGACGGTTCAAACTGACCGGTCTTGTTTGGTACGCATTAGGTGAAATGAAGTAACGTTTGTACTCACGGAGCTGCTCTTCACGCGTCATACCTGGTGTCGGACGTACTTTCTCCAACCTTTTTGCCAAAGCCTAGCATATAAAAATAAAAGCATAACACGTGCGATGATAGAAACATGGCATATTTTTGAAGTTAGATACAATGTGGCTCACTTGTCAGCACTACCGTCTAACATTGATGAAAAAACATTGTATTTTGTGCCACATGATGGTACGTGATCCTGCGAACACTTCAGTATTATGCCAAGAAAGACGATGATAAAAAACTGAGGAACTGGCTTTCGTGCAATCACTTATAAAGTTCTTTTGGCTTGGAAACAAGGCCATTTGAAGTTGCTATAAAATCCTCAACTCTGGTCAAGTTTTATCTGCCTTCCATTGAACTATCAATTGCTTTATTAGCGGTATCTAGTAATCCAGTTTGCTATTTTCCATACCCACCGGCTGTATTCTACTTTCTCCATGTTCCGCAACTGACGCTAAACTGCGATAAATCAGTTCGTCTTGGTAGCTTACTTGATGGTCATCACTGCTAGTACGAGGGACAGTACCATGAAAATCGAAAATCATTGTTGAAACAACTTCCACGAATAACCGTGGATAGTCGACCAACGTCAGCTCGCACCTAGTTAGAGGACGAGGCATGTCCATACCCCGCCAATTTCAATGAGTACCAACGGAAAAGAAACTATGAGCCAGTTTGAAATGCAAGTCTATACGTATCATGAGTTTCATTAAAACTAGAAAGCCCATCCGTGATTGCCGATTGTCTACCAACGGTTCACAATGTAATCACGGTGAGACGGGACCTCCTTCGTTTTCTCACAGTGTGCAGATTATATTATAACGGGCTGCGTAGTTCTCAGTGGTTGAACCACCGAAGCACGTTGATAGCCTAGTGCATGGTTGGACTCAAGATAACAGACATCTGAGCAGGGTCGCAGATGGGACGGCAAAATCCATAAATTTTACAGTGTCATCCAGTTCCGTTTAGTCTGTCCAAATTGTTTAACTGGGCTTTGGAGTTGTATGCACCAGATTTACGCAAGAAGGGAGCCGGAAGGAGATAACTGCTATTACCCCCTTCCAACTTGTTTTTTTAATGTTCGTTCGAACGTTTATTCACATAAATTAGCGTGAGGCGCGCGACAGTGAGGCCCTGATGACGATGTTGCGATCAGTGATGGTTAACCCCATGTATAATTCTGTGGGCACGAGTTAGCTGAGACACGCCATCGTCATCACCATTGTTGACAGCAATGGCAGAAAACCGCGTGTCTTTTTCATCAAAGGCTTGCGCTGGTTAGATAAAGTTCATTTTCCCAGTATAATCCCGACAGCCTACAACATTTCCTATTATTGTCTAAGATTCCTCAAACCGGTATACATGACAACCTTTTTCTCGAATGTCTTACTAAACCGTTTTTTGGTTGCAACGGCTCCAGATGAAACTGTTTTAACCATGTAAATGTAGACACAATAGGCGCTGAAATTTTGAACGGTATGTGAGTTGATTAGAGATGTGGAATTTGTACTCAACACGAATCAGCACTTATTGTGATGGTTTCGTCTTATAACTGGAGCAAGGAGCTAATGAATCAAAAAGCACAATCAAGTGGAAGTGAGCAATCATGTTGAAATTCAACCGCCAAGGGTGTACCTACATAGTTCTCCATTTGAATCCTCTCTTGTTCTCTAAAGCGATTCAAGGTTGTGTGATACGGTCTGCAGATAACCGTATTTCGACTCGGTAGAAGTTTATTGCCATCGGACAGGGAATCGTTTTTACTGGCCTGTGTGAATTGTTCGTATAATTCATAGAAGGAGGCTGCGCGGTCACTTGGTAGCTGACGGGAATTCGGGTCACGCCATGGAGGGCGAATTCGCATGTTATGTAAACGTCTTGTCAGACTGATCATAGCCTTTTCCAATCTCTCAGCTTTAGCTCGTTCAATTTCGTCGTCTCGTTTTCGCGAGTGACTAGTAACTGACCGCTGTGCAGAGCCGCTATACTCAACTTCCTCCATGACATCGCTGTCGCTAGCTGATTCTTTACGTTGTTGAACCACTTTCTGTTGTCCATGGGACTGTTCCTCCGCCTCTTCGTTCTCCGTAGACACTGCTGAAAAATCTGAATCATAAGACCGTGATAGACTGAGCGTGTTTGAACGCGATCGGGCCCTGCGCTCTGAGGACAGGTCACCTTGGTTACTCTGTGAAGTATCCGATAAGCAAGGGGATGATGGCTGAACTATAGCAAATTTGGTACCACGTTGCAGCCCACTAACAGTAGGTTCTGGTTGAAGCCGGTCACTCCCCGCGGATATTTCTTCAGCGTTCGTACTTTCAGACCTGAGATGGGCAAATGAACACAGCGTTTGACAACAAATTATGAATATGTACGGAATGATCAAACATGGCATTCACACACCCCATGAGACCACAAACGTTTGTCGCCGGGTGCCCACCACCTAGTTGGCGCTCCAAATAATACTTAGTTGCCAGATAACAGGTTCCATCAAGAGTCATACACGGAATTTGTGGGATAATTGGCCCAGTCAACTGGTCTATAAATAGCAAAAGGCGAAAAGTAGACACGGTGTAGTTGGTGGTCGTGTTGATTACGGTATCCTGACAGACCCTTCGTCAGTCATGTTTCAACACGACCACAAATTTGGTTTTCAAGTCATAGAGCTTGACACAGCAGTACATTCGCTGTGCCGATATACCTGATTAAGTTTAAGTCTGACGGAGATCAGGATAACTGGTTGGCCAGTCGAAAAGCTTCAAGAAGCGAAAGAGCAGCCAACGTCTGGTACCATGAGAAGGGCGAACCGCGGCGTTTCCTCGTTCAGATTTCCAACCCAGCCCAGTCTGGTCATGGGAACGAATTACAGCTTCCTTTATTCCAATGTTTTGTTACTCCTTATCCAATTAATTTGCAAGCCAGAAAGGCATATGATTCGATTATCAGGATTTGAAATCTAACAATATAATGCATTCTGTCAGTGGGGCGAGGAGGCGCGTCTTCCACTCCCATGACCCCTTGAAAGTCTTCCAAATTGAAAACTGCTGTTAGAAGGCTCCAGGAACTGCAATATTATGTAGCGGCAAACCTAATGACCGTATGATAGATCTGCACTTGAGGATACATAAAGTGGATGAGGTTTCCTTAGGTTGATACTAGCTACAAGCTACTTACCTGACTGGCTAATAAAATAACCACTTATAACACTGTGATGTGTTACCGACTAGCTTATTCATGCTGGAAAGCAAAACCTGCAAATGTTCAAATTACTAGCAGTGAGGTCGTAGTTCCATGAGATGAGCGCTGCTCATAAATCCTCATAAGGATGAAACAGCTATTCAGCACCTCTTGGAGTTGTGCATAGATTGGCTTCGCCTACATGATGAAATATCCCTTGAAAACCACCAAATCTCCTCGCACTGTAACAAATATCTGCGTGCCTCATTTCTGATCCTTAACGACTAGGTGGTAGTGGAAAGTGAAGCTAATCTTTGCTCTGTGCTCCTTTAAGATAGTGCAATACTTTGGGTTTATTCAACTATTAGGATCATTGTTTCCTTTTAACTCTCGTGACATGAATCCCCTCTCATGTTTACTAGACTGCAAATATTGATCGCAGAGTTCAAGTATTTGGAAGCTCTGTGAGAATGAAGCCTCGTAGTTGTACAAGTTTACGCATTTTCCTTATAACTGGTAAGTGGTGATGTTAAAAATCGCAGTTCATTGAGTAGGTTTCTTTTCCTTGCTTGAACAAGAATTTCCGTAAGCTATTTGGTGGTTTTACCTGTTGCTAGGTATCGTCAGGTAACCTGACTGCGAATAATAGGTTACACCATCAAAAAGTTGAACATGACCAACTAATTTGCGCACGAATAATTGACCCAGAATAAAGTGGGATGAATATCCGCTTTATGACTTTGCACAGGATGGGGAACGCAGCTGCCTTAGGACTGAGTTCGGACAACCTTCAAATAGTTTAAGATTGAGGAAATCTCACTACCAACCCACTATCGGTCAGGATTCCTCAGACGAGCGTAGTCCGCGAATTCAACTTATCCGACTCAGCTTACTCAGACATTTGTTAGTTACCTTGTAAAGAGGAGTGAAAAGTGCAATCCGCACCATATTATGGATCGGAAATGCGGTCTCTATGCGCAGAGGATATGCGATAGCTGACAACATATGACCATCGGTGTCTCCGATGGTCTGGTGGGAACATCGGATTAGCAATGCTGAGGTACGCCAGATGGTCCTAGGAAGAAGGAACTCTCCCGCGACGCATGGATTATCCACGCTTCATAGGTTACGCTAGTTTGGACGAGTACTCCGCATGCCAGAAGACCGTCTGTCTTCTATAGCTTCTTTCGCTCAGCCCTGTGCTTAGTGGAAGCGACCGAGTGGTGGACAGTTTATGGGCTGACAAGGAAGTATGGAAACACCAACCAGTCAACTCAGTCAGGTCGAAAGCTGCCGCCTCCCGGATTCAATTCACCGATGGGTAATAACACTGGTATAAATGGCTTATTTAAACAGTCAGTGGTACTCACGAGTTAAAGCTTTGCGTAGCTACCCTCTTCCTGAATTAGCAGATCATTCCATCGCCTTTAATGCTTGATTATGTTTCCCACTCTCTCCTGTTTTCCCGTGACCGAACTGAGGAGTTGAAAAGTTAAGGTAAGTAGCTGCCCATTGGAGGCGGAACCTGATAAGCTGGGACGTAAATACAGGTCTGTCCGGATTTCAAGCAGAGAGATTGAGAAGGAACCGTGCACGACGTGCACAAAGAGAGAAAATTTTCCTAGTGTTTTGTCGGCAGGTATGTTCTGTAATTTGGTTTGTTTGAACAGCAGCTTGGCCGCTGACGCCCGGTCTTCAGCCATATATAAAGTATCCTGGGGGATTTTCTGTCCTTGCTCGTTTGGATGCTGCTCTATTATCTCAGACTATCCGTGGACATCAATCTGTCTGCCTCCGCCTTTCAAAGTAGATTGCTCATAGGGATGCTGAACAGTCCAGTAAACACAGTGCCATCGGTGGCTAACGGTGGCCAAAGGTGGCTAGCTTTGCCACTGATTCCGTTGGTGAATACAAGTCAAACATAGCATTTGTTGCATAAAAGCCTTCTGAAAACAAATGTAACAGGATACTCTGGATACCGGAGCTCTATTTACGAAGTAATTTTTGAAACCGATTTGTCTGAATGCACCACCGATTAAATATATGAAATTTTTGGGGTCCCATCTTTGGCCGCTTTTAGCCACCGGTGGGGCCATCGGTGGTGCCGCGGTGACGTGTTTACTGGGAGCCTACAACACTATGCTGATCTCCGAGACACTCCTCTAACTGATGATATTTAACCCAAAAGTTGTCTGTCCACCTTAAATCTCTAGTGGTCATCTCACAAGTAGTCTGCTATGCAGAATATCAGCAAGGGCAGAAAATAACATTCTGGAAGAGAGCAAATGGTTTAACCTGTTTCCTGTGATGTGCTTTACTGAAACGAGACAACATACGCGTGGATGCTTCGGCTGACCGATTTGCCCATCGTCCGCGCATCAGCCTCAGTTTAGTAACGTGGTCTAATGGCTGCAAAGCCCTGCTTATCCAATATTTTAGGGTGTTCAGCTAGGCGTATATGCACTAAGGACTCTACACACACTAACTGCCGACTAGCTGCCAGAAAACGGTTGGATAGTGTTTATCATCTAATAAAATGGAATGCTCCAATACAATGGGTATGACAACCGAATGATCGATACCGAAATATATTTTGCCCAAGTTAAATAAACGTACGTCGTGTTGGTGGGTTTCTTATCATTATTAAGATTGTCTTCGAAAAAATCGTAGTCAACAGATTCTGTAAGATCTAGTGATAAGGTACGAAATGAGTCTGGAAATATTTTAGTCGCCATTAGTTGTGTTCATGTGTGCACGTTAAACCGTAAATAGATACTCTGAATATTTAGCTCATTAAAATAAAGTTCGATCCTGTAGCTCATATCAAGCCAAAGGTCCGTAGAACTGCACCCACTGCTGATTTAGTTTCTGCATTCTTGTGGACAAACTGAAGGAGAATGGTTGGCACAGTGGGTAAAGTCGGCCAACAGTACTTGA